TTGGTCAATGACATGAGACAAAGTATATGTGAACTGCTGTATGAAAAGTGAATTTACTCTGTAAATCTTCACCCAAATCAAAATAAAATTAAAAAACAAAAAACAAAAAACAAAAACAAAAACAAAAAAAACAACATCCTAAGAGCCAAATAGCAACTAGAAGACAAACATGCAGTGGAAGTCACTGTAGCAGGGCAGAGAGGAGTGTGGAGAAGACATTTAGGATTCAGGAATCAGAGTTGACTTCAAATCCTTTCTCTGCTGCTCTCTACATGGGTGACCTTGAGAAACTCCTTTAACTTCTCTGAGCCCCATTCTTCTCATTTGCAAATAGGAATCAAAGGGACCTATTTAAGGAAGTTGTCATTAGAATTAAACAACAGGTGGATATCAAGCTCTTGACACAATATCTACCACATAGTACTGCTCAGGGAAAGTTACAATGGTTGATGATATTGGAGGTGCTGGTGGTGATTCTGAAGATAACATAAGCAGGTGTACGATGGTCAAATAGCATTGAGGGGTGAGAATAGAAAGAGATTAGAGGTAGCTGGAACTGTTCAGATGACTCCCCTCTGAGACTGAAAGGGATTAAAAATAGGTGGACAGAAGTGGGAAGAACATTCATCTGGGGACACAAGGAGTTAATACAAATGACAGTGTTCCAGAAAGCAAGCAGCTTCTCTGGGTAACCACAAGTGGAGTAGAAAATGGGTGATAAATCTGATGGAGCTCTTTTTTTCAACTTTGTATTATAAAAACTTTCCAACCTACAGAAATGTAGAAAGAATAGTCCCTATAAACTCATCACCTAAATTCAATGGTGATTAATGTTTTGCCTAATTTGCTTCCTATATGTATGTATAGCTGATACATGCATATATGTGTATATAATTGTTTTGAAATGGCCTAAAATATGTCTCAAGTGAGGAGACGCAGGGAGACTGGGGGGAGGGTGCAGGAAGAGGGATGTTGACACTCATTTCAAAAGAAGTTACAGAAATCCTGGGTGTCTCCTAAATGTTTGATGAAGCTATTACTCCTGTTGAGCTGTGGTCATGTAGCTGCTGTGGAGCTTGAGGTCAGGAGTGCTGGCGTGCGGGAAAAAGTGTTTGATCAATGACACCCCTTTGAATCCTCATTCTAGGGTTTCAAGCAATAAACATAACTGAGGAGGCAGTATGCCTGATAGAAGGAAACAACCTGACTGTGCTCTGTCCTTACAACATCATGACATATGCCTTCAGCCTGAAAGCCTGGCAGCGGGTGAGAAGCCAGGGCCCCCCTGAGGTGCTGGTGCGCACAGAAACCAGAGATGCAGAGTTCAACAGAGCCCAGGCTGGGAGGTACCTACTGGAGGATTTTCCCACAGAAGCCGTCGTAAAGGTCACAGTGACAGGGCTCCAGAGGCAAGATGAGGGGCTGTACCAGTGTGTAATCAACCTCTCTCCTCAGGACCCCTTCATCCTGCATGATCGAATTCGGCTGGTTCACTGTAGTGGTGAGTATCAGGGAGACCCCACCCAGAGAAGGGGTTTGCTGACCTGATCTCCATAGCCAGAGCCAATGGTGGGGTCCATTCTTCTAGGAAGCATTGTTTTCTAGTAACAGTAGAGTGATCAGAAAAGTTCTAGACCACACATTAGGACTCCTGGATTCTCTACCCTTTCCCTTTTTGACTTTGAGAAGATCATCGCTCTCCTCTGGGCCTCAGTTTTCTCACCTGTAAAACAAAGCTGTTGGATTAGGTGATCTCGATTATTCACACTGAGACAGGAAACCAGCCAGGCAGGAACCTAATAACTGAACTTCAACTATGCTCCAAGCATTCAATTTGCGAATCTCACTGCTGTGAAACAAGTGCTCCATTTTGTAGGAAAGACACCGAGGCTCCAAGAGGTGAAGTTAGTAACTTGTTTAGCAAAGAAGTGATGGAGTAGGGAAGAAGTGATGCAGTTGGAACCTGGGAAACCATGTGATGCCATTGTCCTGGTGAATCTATGAAATGATCCAAGTTCAGTCAATACAATCTGTCACCTTTCTCAAAGGATTTAAAATATAGAGATGAGGAATAGATATTAAAGAATATTAATGAAGGGCCTTCATTAATATTGCTTCTTCTTGGTGAGAGCACAGACAGTTTGACCTCTGCCTTCACTTGAAAGCCTGTTAATCTATATGGAGAGATGGAGCTGGGAAGTGGGGCCTAATTCTTTTGCCTCAAGCTTCTCAATAAACCTTTTCCTTTCACTCCAGTGAATCAGAGAGGCCTCCATCACCACCACAGGACAGTTCTTTCATTTCCTACTAACATGAACTGTGTGATTATTAGGACAGGGCAAGTCTGACATTGATCTTCATTGTATCTATAAATCCAGATTCAACCAAGCAAAACAACAGTGTTGTAAGCAGGACTATAAGTAACATAGTGAACATAAGTGATAGAATCAAAAAATCTTCTAGTACTTTAGAAACATCCAGTGATACTCAATAATTAATGGACTGGTGATAAATGATTTATACAGTCAAATGAAGATGTCCATGACCCCACTCAGGAACATTTTCTCCATTTGGTCTTAGAAGTATGCTCTGGAATGGACTAAAACTTCAGCTCATTGTAAAGGTAAGTGTGGACCCAGCAGGGTAATGGAAGGCCACTGGCCTGGGTTCTTGTTCCCTCTGCCCTGAACATACTCAGTGACCTTGGACAAGTCACTCACCCTCTTAGGAAACTCCCCTCAGTAGATATTTTCCCCTTGTGTCATTAAATGTCTCCATTACTTTAGGCTTCTCTGTATTTATTGAGTTTAGAGGAGTAATGCACTTTATTTTACACTTGGCAAATTTTGCCCACTGCAGGCACTAATAGCTGTCTTATGCCCACCAGGTCTGAATCTATCAATTGATATCTGTTGGCTTCTTTAACTCAAGTCTTCATTAAGACAAGAGAAATAATTATGAACCACTGAGCCCACATGTGGTAGTTAAGGTTATGTGTCAACTTGGCTGGGCCTGGTTTTGAGTGGCAGGCAACTGGATGTAATTATTCCCATGATGAGAATGGTAATAAACTCCATGGTGGAATCTATTGGAGCAGCTGAGTACCTGCCTTAGAGATGTGGTCTGCTTCTAATATATAAGGAGAAATATCGAGAAAGGTCTCTGAGCTTTTTGGCACACTTGGACCCTACATGTAGCTGAGTCTTCATTCAGCAGCCTGCCTTGTTTCCTGCTGATCTTGGGACTGTCTCTAGACATGAACTGGTGGCCTGCCATGTTGTTTGGTAATCTTGGGACTGTGCCATTTTATTTATTGACCTTAGGTTTGTCTGCCTCAGCAGCCAGCAGCTGCCTGAGTGAAGAGATGTCTCCAGCTCCAGTGGGTCAGGAGCAAGAGGCGGAGCTGAAGGCCAAGGTTGAGGGTCCTTCACCCAGCCTAGAGCCTAACATTTTGAACTCAGACTTCTAGCCTCCAAAACTATAGGAGAATGAATCCCTGTTTGTTAAAGCCACCCCATTTGTGGTATTTTCTGCTAGAGCAGCACAAGGTAACCAAAACATCATGCTAATAAGAACTATATCAAGTTTACTATAAAATAAACTTAAACATGAATATTTTCATCAAACCATAAGTAACACACAGCAGATATCTGATTCTTTCTCTCCAGTAATTGGTGAAAACTTTAGGCTGATATGGCTAAGGAGTTTCTGGCTAATGCAAATAGTTAGCATCCTTGGCTACTAATCAAGAGGTTGGAGGTTTTAGTCCACCCAGTGGGGCCTTGAAAGAAAGACCAGGTAAATATTTCTGAAAGATTAATCATTGAAAACCCCACGGAGCAGTTTTACTCCAACAAACTTGGGGTCACCATGAGTTGGGATCAACTTGGCAGCAACTTTTTTTTTTTTTTTTTTTAATTGAGAGGAAAGATCAGGGACAGTTTTTTAGTTATGTTAAAGCAAATGAATGTAGAAGGCTTCTATTCTTGGCTGGTGTTGGACCTGCCTAGAGATAAATGGACATTTCCTAATAGATTGTTTTTTTTTTTTTCACTTTTCCAATATGGGGGGAGGAATGGCACTGACTGACCATAGGAACAAACCTACATAAGGACATAAGGAGATGATATCAGTAATGATATATGTTGTCCACTTAAACTCACCATAGGAAGAAAGGCCTGGAATGGGAATTTAAGGAGAGAAAGGTGGGTTGAGAGAGTCAGGAGGAGATGGGTCTTCTGCTTAATGGACAAGCTCTATAATAGATCAGAAGCAGAGGACTTGTTGTGAACATGGTGAGAGGCCAGCTTGGCTATGATGGGCTGGATGGAAGCAGGTGATGAGAGCTGGAATATTAGGACAGGTTTATTGTCAGACAAATATACAGGACTATGAGTCAGGATACCTGGGGTCTAGTGCCTGTCCTGACACTGTCTCCTGTGTGACTGCTAGGGATTGAATTTTGTCTCCACAAAATATGTGTTATAAATCCTACCTGTGGTTTTAATCCCATTTGGGGATGAGTTTTCTTGTTTATGTTATTAAAGCAGTGTAGGTGTGCCTTTAAATTAATCTCTTTTGAGATATGAAAAAGCAGATTGAGCAAACAACCAAGCAAGAAAGCATAGAGAGGGGAAGATAAATATCACACTACATGAAATCTCCAAGGAACCAAGAAAAAAGCTGAAGAGATACAAGGATCTTCCCTCAGAACCAACTGAGAGAGAAAAATTTCCCCTAGAGCTGGCACCCTGAATTTGGAACCTGTACCTAGACCATGAGGCTGTCATTCAAACAGAACAAGGAGATACTATATGGTTTAAAATCAGGAAGGGAGTGCATCAGGGTTGTATCCTTTAACCATATTTATTCAATCTGTATGCTGAACAAATAATCTGGAGAGCTGGGCTATATGAAGAAGAATGTGGCATCGGGATTGGAGGAAGACTCATTAACAACCTGTGATATGCAGACGACACAACCTTGCTTACTAAAAATGAAGATGACTTGAAGCACTTATTGACAAAGATTGAAGACTACAGTATGCAGTATGGATTACACCTCAACATAAAGAAAATGAAAATCCTCACAACTAGACCAGTAAGCAGCATCATGATAAATGGAAAAAAGATTGAAATTGTCAAAGATTTCATATTATTTGGATCCACAATCAACACCAATGGAAACGGCAAGAAATCAGATGATATATTGTACTGGGCAAATCTGCTGCAAAAGACCTCTTTAAAGTGCTGAAGATCCAAGATGTCTCTTTAAAGACTAAGGTGCACCTAACCCAAGCCATGGTATTTTCAATTGCCTCATATGCATGTGAAAGATGGACAATGAATAGGGAAGACTAAAGAAGAATTGATGCTTTTGAGGTGTGGTGTTGGCAAAGAATACTGAAAATGACTTCCAGTAAGATGGAAGAATAGACAGACAAGCTGCACAGACCCTCTTTGACAAAGAAAAGAGAAACCAATTACATAGATACAGAAGATAATCCTGGAGCCCTGAGCTTTGAAAGAAGTATACAGGAATGGATTAGGCACCAACTAGTGGAAAAACCTGAATGAAAACAGTGAGTACAGAGATGGTTGGAGCAATGGACTGTCAGTTATTCTGAAGGGACCAATAGCCTGAATATTTCTCAGTGGTGTTGGAACCTGAGAATTAACCTAAAGATCAGCCCCAGTCACCAAGGGCTGCAGGAATGACTACACTGGTGACCTATGACTAGGAAGGGAAACAGCAAGGAGGGAGAAAACCTGAGCTGCGGACTTCTGGCTGTCCAGAGGGCACAGCCATTTTGATTGTCTACAAGTGGTGGCCATTTTGGATATTTAAAGTGACTGAGGGTGCAGTAATTTTGAATGTTTACAAGCAGTGGCCATTTTGGGTTTTAAAATGATGGCATTCTCATTTGGATTCCAGGGACCTAAGAATAGGTCTGTTTGCTAAGGTCAGCAGGGACATACAGGAGGCTGACAACAGGAAAGGAGACATGTGGTGAGTGTATAAGTACTGCCAGCTAGTGAACAGAAGAGCATAGCACAGTACCCTGCTTATGTAGATAACATACAAACAAAACAAAGAAAATGAAAATCGCAGGCAAGTCACTTCAACATGTTGTTATATTGTTGGTATGTGCCGTCGAGTTGGACTTGACTCATAGTGACCCCTCCTTGGGTTTCCGAGGCAGTATCACTATGGAAGTAGATTGCCCCATCTTCCTTCCAAGGAGTGGCTGGTGGGTT